TGCTGAATTTACCAACACTTTACACAAATTCCTATCAATCTATCTGCTCACTCCCACTTCAGCTTTGCGGTTATCCTTTGATAGTTTGGCAACAATTGTTAGTCCTCTTTTCTGAAAGATTTTTATTGTAAGTCATCCAAAGCAACACCAACGGCTGTATTTGTTGCAACATCTAAAGAAAATGAAAATGTGCATGAATCTGTTTGTTAAAGACGGGATGCTCCTGGATGTTCTTGACAGAAAAGAAGACCAACAAGATCTCCACTGGAGACGTTTAACTAAGAGCTCAACATTTCCCCTGAATTTACAGAGAAGCTTGCTGTGACTTGAAACGAACTCATAATTGAACTTAAATGTTAAATTACAGTCTTCCTTTGAAGGTAAATGGGAGTTAACCAACATGTGGATGTTGTGTCCTCCGGTGCCCTTAACCTGCTACTAAAGACAAAAAAGGACAAGGAAGGAATGCAACGCTTCTAGTTTCTTATAATTGAAGGAGATGTCGTTAGCGATTATACTGGTGAAGCAACAAGTGAAGATATTTGGCATTACATCTTTCTTTTTTGTTTTTAGAGCTGCATTAATCCTCAGCATGAATGGGTTTTCTTTTAAAGTAACTGAAAGTAAAACATGACAGATTTATTTCATTTGAAATCTCTATTTAGTTTTTGTTCTGCCTATTATTTTGCAGTTACACAACTGAATGATGACTCAACCTTTCAACACACTATTAGCATAAATTCCTTTAAAATGCAAAGCAGTTCTGATATTTATGTATTTATTTTATTTTATTTTATTTTTTTGAATGACTTTAAGTTCCAAGTGCACGTTTTACTTTAAGTAATGCTACTTGCTCGATGTCGTGCAATAGTAAGCTTAGTTTGGCTGTAAATTTAATCATTCAGATCAAAACAAGCACAGAATTGACAAGTCGATGAACCAACTGCTTATTAGGAATTAATAGCCAAACAAGTTGCCATTTTGCTGTTTTATGTAAACCTGCCTGGTGAGGTGTGGTAATATTGAATAACAAGTTCTTTTTCAGTTCTTTTTGTTCCTCCCATTTTATTCTCCTTCTGTTGACTTTTACATTCAAAGAGTGATACAAAAATATCAAATGAATGTATTGAAAGTTTATGTCACAGGATTCATACCAGCAGAGGAATTAGATTCTTTAGATTTTGGCTGCTAAGCTGTGTAGCTATAAGTTATAACACACACATTAGCATCGGCAAGCTTTTCTTAGTCACAAAAGTCATATTTACAGACATTATTTTAGTTGAATCTATGGGGGAAATAGCAAAGACAACAGCTTGACAGCCTGAGAATCAAAATGTAGTTACTTGATGTGACACTGAACAACAAAAGGTGCAGATTCTTCACCACATTGGCAAACGTGAAGAATCTGCAAACGATGTGAACTGTGTCACGGTTTGCCGACACCAAGGTGCCTGTAATTTAATAAACCTGCCCAATAAGATATTAAAAGCAGCTATGGTATGTTTCGACAGTTAATGCAAGAGAAAATTCTAGTAACATTGCTGTGATGTGTCACAACAGCAGATTAGCTGAATCATCATTCAGCCCCATGGTGTAACATTAGCTCATCTTCTGATAAACTCTCTCTCTACCCAATCTTTAAGGATGGAAAACCATGTCTTCGTAGTTTTGCTGTTGTGAAGTACTCTTTCTGTTTTAGGATGATGGATTGATCAGAGCTCTACAAAATGTTCCAGGTTTATTCTCACCCTGCTTTAAGCTTCTCCTCTACTTTCTGCCTGACCTGTCTGCTGGGTTCCCTGGTCTTAATGCTGCTCATGATGTTCTCTACTGAACCACTGAGGCTTTTGGGAAAACTGTATTGAGATGGATTTTTAAGGGCATCAGTCTAATACTTGCATGCAATTTTGTACAAATTCTTTGTGTCATTTTTTGTGATTTTGTTTTAAGAGAAGAAGATGATGATGTAATCAGAGCTCAGGAAATCCCAACAAGATTCATAAAAGCTTAGGATGATTCTTGCTACACTTGCTAACTTCTGTGATCGCCAATATTCAAGTTTTGCCACAAACTTTCAATTGGATTTAGGTCTAGACCTTGACTAGAAAATTGCGACAAGTAATATAAAAATGTGTTGATCTGAATTATTCCATTGTAGTTCAAGCTTTAGTCCTATTTGACAAAAGCTTTTGTCAAAATCCACACATGGCCACACATTGTAAAGTGTGGCCATTAATTGTAAAGCTACAAAATCTGTATTTGGGAGCGTAAAAATGTAGACACCATAATGACTTCCAGGAAATCACAAAAAATGTTTCATATTGTTTTTTTTATCTCATATTTTAGTCATTTGATCTAGTTCAGGGATTTAAATAACTGGCTCATGGCTGCAAGATATGAGAAAATCCTGCAATGGCAATATTATTGATATATGTTTTGATGATGATATAGTTTATGACACATGCACATTTTCTTTGCAACATTATTTGTGTCACTTGGAACACTTAGAATATTTCAGCCAACAATTATAAAACTCCAAGCAGGTATTTCTAATGCAAGGCTTTTCCTCTCTCTCCCCTCTACATCAGTGTGAGAACAAAAAAAAAAAAAACATTTTGAATTTTGTTTTTTTATCACCGTAAGATTCCCAGGAACCCATGAATCAAAGTAACAGCCACTTCAAAGTTCCCTCCACATCTATTTGAATGCAGCTTTTCTCGGGGAAAACGTTAACTTTTTTCACCTGAGAACGCTGGACAAGAACTTCACATTGTTATCTGAAATAATGTGGCTTTTGAAGCTCCTTCATGTGAAAGAGGGTTTGATTTGATTTACTTTTCTGTGGCTACAGTATTGATTGAACAAATCATAAAGGCAGAAACACGCCCATAAAGCTGTTGCATTTATGTTTCCTCATTTATTCTGCAGTGACGTCAAACCTCTGATATTCAAGGCAAATCGCAAAACTGGATTTTTAGCTTTTTAACTACAGTTAAAAAAACATAAGGTGTGAACTTCTCTGAGTCAGAGGGTCAACACCGACAAACTGAGATTCAAAGATGTAATTAAATCGTAAAATATCCAGTTTTGTCACTGTGTCAACATGCTAGGCTGACGTCAATGCAATTTAAAATGAAAAAACTTAAACAGAAAATCTTCTGTAGAATGTGCTTCTTTTGACATTTTACCAAAGAAAATGACTAAGCAAAAATAAAATAAAACAATAAATACTGAGCAAATTAAGATGTTTGGTATCGTATAGCATTAGGATAGAAAAAGGTAGAACACATAAAACCAAATCTTCTCTTGTTTATAAATGTTTTTTTTTTTATTATTTTATGCATTCACACAGACTACAAATTACTGGTTGCTGCAACATGTGTGAAAGGTTGTGTTTGTAAACTGCTAAAAAGCTTAGAAAATTTTAGCCTGTCTGAGTTTTTCAAAAGGACAGAAAAATTGTTGAAACTAGTCTAAGTACGAGCCGCTGTTTTTGTTACAAAGACATGAATAATTTGTGTGGTGCTTAACGTTTCATATTGTAAGAAAATTATGTCTGGAATAAATGCAGACTTTTAAAAAAAAACAAAATGTCTCCACCTGCATCAGCCGTCTGTGCTGGGCAGGCCAAAGTTGTATTATTCTTGAACTGAAGTTGGGGAGTCACAAAAGGCCCTTGGGCTGCACTTTTAACTCCCATGTGTTAAATAAATTTTGAATTTCTGAGAAAGAGACGGGTGGTTAATGAAGGTTTCTTAAAATATTTTTGGCACTGTGCATCTGCTGATTGAAACTTCCAGCTTTGCCCTGAACATTTTTCTAGCAGCAATATTTCACTGCCAGCTGCAACGGAATTGATTCAAAGTGATGATACATTTGACACAATTTAGAGGAAAACCCCTCTATCAACATATTTACTTGGAAACCTTTATCCAGACAAGTTGAATTCATTTAGGAGACTCTGTCTCTCTCTTTCTTTCTCTCCATCTCTTCTCTTTCTTTCTCTCCATTGCTCTCTTTCTTTCTCTCCATCTCTTCTCTTTCTTTCTCTCCATCTCTCTCTTTCTTTCTCTCCATCTCTTCTCTTTCTTTCTCTCCATCTCTCTCTTTCTTTCTCTCCATCTCTTCTCTTTCTCTCCATATCTTCTCTTTCTTTCCATCTCTCTCTTTCTTTCTCTCCATCTCTCGCTTTCTTTCTCTCCATCTCTTCTCTTTCTTTCCATCTCTCTCTTTCTTTCTTTCCATCTCTCTCTTTCTCTCCATCTCTTCTCTTTCTTTCCATCTCTCTCTTTCTTTCTTTCCATCTCTCTCTTTCTCTCCATCTCTTCTCTTTCTTTCCATCTCTCTCTCTCTTTCTTTCCATCTCTCTCTCTCTTTCTTTCCATCTCTCTTTCTCTCCATCTCTTCTCTTTCTTTCCATCTCTCTTTTTCTTTTTTTCCATCTCTCTCTTTCTCTCCATCTCTTCTCTTTCTTTCCATCTCTCTCTTTCTTTCTTTCCATCTCTCTCTTTCTCTCCATCTCTTCTCTTTCTTTCCATCTCTCTCTTTCTTTCTTTCCATCTCTCTCTTTCTCCATCTCTTCTCTTTCTCTCCATCTCTTCTCTTTCTTTCTTTCCATCTCTCTCTTTCTCTCCATCTCTTCTCTTTCTTTCCATCTCTCTCTTTCTTTCTTTCCATCTCTCTCTTTCTCTCCATCTCTTCTCTTTCTCTCCATCTCTTCTCTTTCTTTCCATCTCTCTCTTTCTTTCTTTCCATCTCTCTCTTTCTTTCTCTCCATCTCTCGCTTTCTTTCTCTCCATCTCTTCTCTTTCTCTCCATCTCTCGCTTTCTTTCTCTCCATCTCTTCTCTTTCTCCCTCCTACTGAGCCTCAGGTGAACTCCACCTTCTTCCGTTTAGCCAGCCCTGCTCTGATTGGCTGAAATTTGTGTCAGTCATGCCCTCCAGGTCTATACTTGAGCTCAGGTAAAGGCTACCTGAGACCTCACAATTACCAAGAGGACTGTGGATTACATCGTCTGTCTTCAGCCTCACGTCACCGCAGTTAAAGCCAGTAATCATAAAGGCCCTGGCGCATAAAACCCGCACTTTGTTAATAAGAATAGGTTCCGGTTTTTATGGCAGCGGGAGTCGAACTGGCCATGAATCCGCCGCATATGACAGAGGAAAGGGCGGTTTTCACGCAGCTGAAGCCCGTGAGGATGTCGGGAGCGGACGGCGCCGAGGACACGTCCGTGTTTGAAGACGTCAAACCGCCGGTGAGAATCTCTGCCTTCCCGCTGAACTCCAGACTCGGCCTCTCTGGGCTTTTAATACCTTCTACTGATATCCTCAAGTCTTATAAACAGTCTGTGATGATGTAAACTGGCTCAAGCTTCGGTTCCTGTTTAATTACCTTTTGTTTAACGGGCTGCACAAAACGCAGCTCACCAGTAAAGGCAGGTTAAAGTCCTAAACTGACACCTGACAGCGAAGACCTCAGCTAACACCAATTATATGACAATCCCACGCTTTTGGAGATGGATAGAGTTCTTCTAAACTTTATTTGCAAAAGTGTAGGTTTAAAAAAGCCATGCAAAACACCACATTTCAAACAACTCTGAGGAGTCATCAAGCCCTTTTTATGATAAACAGGGTTTTTAGAAGTGTGATGATGTTAAAGTTGCTTCAACTTCAATACTTTAGCAAAGACTAGTCAGAGAGGAGCTGTTTGCAGACCTTCAGGCCTGGTTTCCTCAAGTTCTCCTCACCAGAACAATCCCTTCATCCAGGAGGAGGTTGGTTCATCCTGAGAGCAGCTTCAATTCAGATACTATTTTTGCCCCATCCTATAAAGTAACCTCATGCTTGCAGCATGACTTGTGTCCCTGAACATTTCAGGAAGTAACTCAAGGCTCATTGCTCACAGCCCATCTCAGTGAGATTCAGAAGCCCCTTTTGGCCTGCGCCGTAAACCCGGACAGCCGGTGACAGCGCAAACATGCAGCTGCATTAAAGTTACATGGCTTTACAAAGGCCTGCGTGATCGCAACACGGTGCAAACTGAAACCGAACTCCTTTTGTTGTGCTCCAGAGTTTGGTCACTTGCCATTGGTTTTTGGTAAACAGGTGGTGAATCCAAACACCTAAGGCAAAAAAAACAAAGAAAAAAAAAAACACTTCCCATGTGGGCAGCAGTACAAAACTGGTGGTTGGTGATTACATTTTCAAAATGTAACATCCAGAGGGCATCTAATACCCGCGAGGGTGTGTAAATCCTCAATTTCACGTGATTTGTTTTACTTGCATGCAACACGTTCGGGTCTTAAGTATCATCGACAGAATGACCTGGATGGTTCTTTTTTGTGAACAGGGAACATGAGAAGCTAAATGCTGTAGCTGTTTATAAAAAAGCAAGAGAGGATTTCCTGCCTTTTTTTCCTGTCACCAATAATCCAACAATAATCCAAACATTTCATCTAAAGCACTGAGTGTCTCTAGGTATGTGGTTGTGTTCTCTAGGAAAGCTCTCTCTGGGTATCTTTTTGCAGATTACTGTGGGACTCTATGGACTCCATAAACATGAGCCACTTTACAGCCCCGGCCTGTTTGTGTGCTCATAGGATTCCATGAATCATAATGTTCTACAGCTGAATACCTGAACCTTAGTGGGCCAATGCAGTATTTTTCCTGTTAATAATTGACTCAATTATCATAAGACATCAATTTGTCTTGAGTTCAACGAGTTGTTGGTGCTACATCGCAGGTTGCAGCAAATAGTGTCTTTTGTTACTTTTAGGGTCACTGTGGAGCGTTCCTTGGGGTGAAATAGCTTGGATATGTGTTTGTCTTTTTTTGTTTCATCGCTTGAACCTACGACAGGCTTTATGCAAAAACATTACGTCAAGTACTCAGAAGTCTAGCTAGGTGAAATTGTAACCCCTCAGGCAAATTTTTGCAGGCGGCTGCTTTGAGGAGGTTTACCTTATGTGCTCTTTGTTCACCAGAGGTTCATCCAGTTTGTTTCTCAAATTGGTCGCTTTCTGTAAGAGTTCAAAATAAAAAGAAAAAGGCTCTTCCTTCCTTTTGTTTTGCTCATTTGACTCAAACAGTAAAACAGAATGTTAGTGGAGAGAAGGGAGGGGGAAAAAACACATCAAATCTCTCCTTTGTCTTGTTTTTCAACTTTCTTTTTGCCTCTCAGACAGGTCTTTGTGTAATTGTGTTGGTGTTTTTTAAACAGCGCTTAACTCGGCTGTGTCGTGACAGACGTATGTTGCTCAACCTGTCTGTGCAGCGCCCGCATCTCCGCCGTCCTCCCTGAGGCCAGAGAGCGCATGAGGCAGGCCCACCTCTTGACAAAGTCACAGCCGTGATAAGACCCTCAGGAGTCCAATTCCTGTTACAAACAGCACTTTGATTAGCTGCCAGGGCATTGTCTTCACAACTCCAGTGAAATACTAAGGTCATAGTTGTTTTGTTTTTTTGCACAAATATTTATTATGTTTTGTTTAAATTCTTTATATATTTTATTTTAGCATGCAGAGTCTTCAAATGAAAATTTCTAAAAGAAAGAAAAGTGGCCATAATCCACAGTTAATTGAATTTTTTTGCTCAGTGTAGCATTATGCCATGCAGAGAAGCAAGGGAAAACATTAGCATGGTCCAAAGGAAACCCAACTCCTTCCTTTGTGTGGCCTCCCTCAATTACTGAAGCAAATATTTAGTTATGGCTAATTAGCGTCCAACATTAGTCACCAGCTTGTCATCAACCTCAACATCAGAATACCCTCAGATTCACATGCAAACACCAGCAGAACTAGCTGGGAGCACTGGAAAATGCAAAATTAAAGACGTTAGGTCTTGTTCTGGTCCCACAGTAATCTGCAAAAACATAGCCAAGAGAGAGCTTTCCTAGAGGTTTTGTTCTGGTTCCCTGTGTCAGGCTTTGCGACATGTCAAAACCTGACAGTTTTGCACCTGACATATAATTCTTGCTAATCACTAACATCTCGAGTAACCTGTAAAGAAATATGAAGACAAACAGAATTCCAGTTGTGATTGAAATATGTTAGATTCTGTCATTTTCTTTAGCCTTGGAGAAGCAAAGAGGGAACTAAAAAGTTCTAACAGCTTAGTCACACCGCTGGGGGGCAATTTTGGATTTAGACACAGTGGGAGTTGAGGGATTTTGTTGTTTGTAAACCCATAAGTTGCCAGGTATATTCGTCAATATCACTATAAACATATATTTTTACAGCTCTACCACTCTTTTAATTGACTAAACCTGGCAAAAGAGACAAAGTCCAATATTTATGGCTCATTCTCCTTTCAATGACTAAAAAAAATTTTTTTGAAAGCTTTTCTAGGTTATAAGTGTAACAGTAGCTTTGTCTTGTAATTTTGTAGTGTGGCTTGAAATAAAAGAATAACTTATAATACACACAGCTCTTTTACTGGTGTAAATTTAAATCTCTTTCTCAAAGAAGCAGATAGCTTCTTTTAAAACATTTGAGTCATCGGAAGAATGCAGAATGTAAAACAATAACAACACACAATGTTCTGTTATGTACATCCTTCTTACCCCTGAGGCTTTGTAAGTAATTTTCCCTGGGAGCTTTCTTTGAAAGTTTAGAGAAATATTCTGCTACACCAGTTCTGCTTGGATTGGTGATAACTCCATTGTCTGAAGTGTGAGAACATCATATTCAAGTCAAACTCAAGAAATCAAGTCAAATTTATTTCGGAAGCATGTTTGAAATGTACAGTAAACCAGACAACAGTTTTGCATAAAATGAGAAAAAAACTGGGGATGAATTAATAAAAATGATTTCCTAAAACATGCATCAAACCTTTTTTAAGGAACCTTCATTTGTTGCCACTTAATATAGGACACATTAGAAACCTCTCAGTTATTTGTCTTTTATGTGACATATTGGCACATTAGCAAACAAAGCTACTTAACAAAAAGTTACATAAACAACAATTGAAAATATTTGTTTTTATCAACAGCTAAAAAAAATGTCAGGTCCAACCCATTATAATCATATAGTAATTCTGAATCCTAGTTTCCTCTTTTTCTAGCTATTCATGTTCTATGTACAAATTAGCATTAGTGACACAAAACTGTTCTTTGTTGCTATGGATGCTTCTTTTTTATCTTTCTGCAGGTGTAGAAGCAGATTTCTTGGCTGTTTTCTTGTCTTCTTTTTATCCTCCTACCTGTCCTCTATTCTTAACTCCTTCCTTCCCTCTTAACCTTTTGACCCACTGTTCTCCCTTCTCTTTTCCCTTTTTTTCCATCTCTGTGTCCATTGTATTTGACATGAACCCAAAGCAATCTAATACAATTTTATGTCAAGTGGGGCATTATAGCGAAAGACTTTCTTACTAGTGAAAGTAAATCTGTTGGGCTTGTCTAAGGCTCTCAGACAGCAATTTTGATTGCTCCACTGCTGGATGGGATGTAAAACAAAAAAAAAAACACAAAACTGAAAAAAGTAGCACTTAAAATTTCCATGAGTTGTTGCTTCAAAAATTAGTGATATTCTTATAATCTCTAACATCAAGAAGGACAGAATATAAAATATATACACAGCTAAAATCAAATATCTTCCTTTTCTGTTACTTCTGTTCATTTACACACCAGCATTAGCTTTGCAGCTAAGCTAGTTGATAAGAAAAAGAAAAGTAAAATGGTTTTGGTTTTATTTATCAATACGGATTTGGATTTTGTCTTTTCAGTTGAAATCAAATCATTAGTTGCCTCTGCTTTGGATCAAGCAATTGCTAGCATAGCACAACTAGCTTAGCGTAGCCAGTTTAGCTTGTTGTATGTTGGAAAACTTGAAAGGTTGCTCAGGAAATACAACTTCTGACTTTGAACTCAAAAATTCACACAAATATAACGGCTTTAACGTTGCCAAAAAACAATATCATCCTAATATAGATAAGAGCTACTGTGTTAATATCATTGAAGTCAAATCTAAGTTTCCAAATTATCTGCGCTCCACACTGGAAAACACTTTTTCTATTTAAAGTACCACAAATCCATCATGCACAAATACTTTCATTATATTAGTATAAGACATTGATATGAAAAAGTCTGTAAAGATAAATTGGACATTTTTTTATTTTTCTGCACAATAGTATATAACGGCTGCCTTTATTCGGAAGAAGGCAGTTTTCTGCTTTTGCGTGTGTTTGCATATATATATATATATATATATATATATATATATATATATATATATATATATATATATATATATATATATTT